GAAAATTCGGTCTCACCGATAATGATTATCCTATTGCCATTCTTGTCCAGTCTTCCCATTTGTTTATTTACCTTTTAAATCCCTATCTGCATTATTAGATTTGGTTACTGTCTTTATTTTTATATGTCCGAACCATCTAACCATTTCGTTAATACTACATTCTTAACCCGTAATTTTACAAACTGACTAGTTTTCTAGTAATTACTAATCCTATTTTGTCTTATCTACCCGATCTTCCTGATTATTAGACATTGTAAATTTTAATTTCACGTTTGGCATGAAATATTTCAAGAACAGTGCCACTACCTATCTTCTGTTGATTACATTTAGAAATCAATAGTACTTAAAAACATCAATACTGTTAATGACGACTATTCTAAAATATCCTATGTATACAAATATATATATATATATATATATATATATATATATATATATATAATTGTAGAGCCAGAAGAGGAAATCATTGAAGAGGATATTCTTTGTTCAATTTTTTTATAGCTGAACAATTGTTTCCTTCTCTGATTCTTTTCGTAGATTTTGAAATTCTAGAAATGTTTTAGTTTTCAGCACTTAGAACTAACATTAATACATCCGAGTGTCACATTAAATTACTATACTTACTTTGTAGGGATTAGTTTTTTTTTTCAGACGAGTTGATCACGGATTGATATCAGTTAGAGAACCATTGAAAACCAGCACTGGAGTACTGGACAGCTGCTGTTTCATCCTAGTTTGGGTTAGAACCCTGGCAGTGGGTGCGTACTGCCGATGATTCCCAAACTAGAGTGAAACAGCATTAAATTACACCTGAAGTTGTCAGTGGTTACCACTGAAAGGTTCAAGAATGAGAATGAAATAGCTCTTTTGTATATAATAATTATTTATAACCAACTTAAGTTGATGACAAAATCGATGTCAACATCTCTTATGCATCCTGATAAAATTAATATGACCGGTAGAATTCAGTCTGCACCAAAGAAGGAACTAAACACATTACACTAGTTACTGACTAGTGTCCAATCAAAAATATCCAATACAGGTCAATCGCGAGCCCGAATAGCTCAGTGGTAACGTCTCTGACAGCAGAATTCACTCGGTGACGCGAGTTTGAATCTAAGAAGGGACATGAGTTGCTCTAAGGTTGTAGATACGCCTTGCTGACTAGTGGGTGCCAACTAGCACTAAACCTAGGTGAAGCAAGGCTTTCTGTGGCCGATTGCCTCCAAATATCTAACATCAACAAAAGAACTTCCCATTATGTACTATTATTATTACTCCAGTATACATAATTGAAAGTTGGTTTAATTCCCACACATACACACACGCCTAGAAACAATAAAACTGAAGAATGACGAGAGTGAATATGTGAGTAATATGTTGGCAATGAAAGTTGCTGACAAAATCTATTTTCTATTACTCTTTCGAATCTTATTCAGTTAAATAATTCACAAGAATTGAATGAATGTGAAAATATTTCCTATTCAAATCTACGGTAGTTTTTAGATAACTAATACTAGAATGGATTTCCTGAAATTCAAATATGAATTTATAATGTTGTATAGAGCAAAATTACGTTGTAACTGAGTACAAATGACCTGTGATTATTCAATATGTTAAACCTTAAAAAAATATGGACCTGTAAATTCTAAGCAAGAAAACAAACAGTTGATTCCTGGAGGAAAGGTTTATAGCCCTTATGTTTTGAAGTATGACTGCCGTGAGAGCTGGCTGTTAGCCAAATCGGTAGACAGTAATTCACGTCAATGTTTATGCCCCAATATTGGTCGTGAGAAAAATGAGAACAAAGGCTTTGCATAGGCGGATACAGTTAGCATATAAAAGATCCGACATTCAAGAAATAGCCATAAAGAGATGCAAGGTTAACCTTCAGTGAGAAACAACCACCAATCAGAAGACTGTGTTTTTCGGCTGACAATAATCTATAATAATGTACATGAAAATCTATAAATATGTGTTGATTTCTTTAATAAACGATCTGTTTCCTGGTCCTTGTCTTCTGTTGTTACATCACTACTGTATTCTTTATCATGCAGATCGATGTTTTGTCCCAATATTAACTTTCATCCATTTCTTCACTGGTATGAATCAATAAAGAAATCTGATTATCAAGTATTGGTTTTTTAGGGATTTTCTTTGATTGGTTGGAGGATTTTATCATGAGTTGATATCAGTTAGAGAATCATTGGAAAACCTGCATGGAGTACTGGACAGTTGTTTCATCCTAGTTTGGTGAACAGCTATCCAGTACCGCATACAGGTTTTCCAATGGTTCTCTAACTGATATCAGCTCATGATGAAATTAGTAATAATAATAATAATAATAATAATGACAACACCAACAATAAGGAATATAAATCGTCAGTAGTAATTCCATACAAGGAAGGAACCTTGGAAGCCTTACGCAGAATTCTTAACAAGGCAGAAATAAAAGTGGCTGCCACTGAAACCAACCACAAACTCAATTAGAAACAAGATTTGTCGGTTAAAGGATCAATCCTGTGGAGCCTTTAATACAAAACAATTTAGTTTATCTAATACCCTGCCTTCAATGACTCTCAGGTCAAATACATGGGTCAAACTAGTAGAATAGGGGCAGCCGAACATAAAAACCTAGCAGCAAAATCTAGATTGGTTGACCCAAATAAGATAAGAAATCTAGAGAATACTTCAGCTATACCACTCACTATATGCAAATACACAACCATACAATAGGCTGGATGGGATACGATGACAATTTTAAAATCTAATGTATTAGGGTGGAGGGAGAGATTGGTAACGGAAGCTTTGTTTATCGAATCAACTGCAAATACATGTAATAGGAATGATTCAACACCTGTCCAGTAGGATATCTGGAAAATTCTACCACCCCTACGACAAATAGGAGAGGACAAAGTCGTGTGATTATAATTGATATGATAATGAACAATAAATTGTGTTCGAAACTGTGTCATCCAGTAAATAATACTGTTTCACTGTGTGGTTCATCTAATAAACAAACTAATATGGAATTACTTACTACCACAGTGCTCAAGTTTTACACATATATGAAATCATCCAAACAAATCATAAGGCGACCTGCTTAAATCATTGGGCTACCGAAATTACTTTCCTCCAAAATGCTTAATTTCATCTGGGTTTATCGTTGTTTTAATCGTCCAGTTGTATCAAATAACCTACACATAAACTTGCGCGAGGATTTAACTTGCTCCCAAGTAAACGCTGTACAATTCTTCAACGAAATGAAGATATACTTCAGATTATTACTTTACATGTGAATCCTGTGTAAAGGAAAAAGTACTTTGGAACTGAATACGCTGACAATTTTTGTACAGTGTATTCGCATACTGTCTTAAATAAAGCTATACCATTATTATTATTATTAATTTTCTTCTTAACCGAATAATAGTATTAATTCATAGGATCATGATAATAATAATCTGCTACTAATCACATTAAAATGAACTGCAGTGAACTCTGAACTCCTATAAATCTTCATCCTGTAGTCAGGATGTTCGATAAGTATTTCAGTAACCGAGTTTATACAAATATAAGAACGCAAATTGTCTTACCAAGAATTAATATGATCACAAAAAACTGTTGATGGCTTAATATTTTTCCTACCTTTGAATATATTCAGTTGATTCATTTGGAAAATACATTAGAAGACATTTTAACTGATTAAAAATACCCATCAAAATTTATTAAAAATAAATGTTACTGAATAAAGAATACTCTTTTCGATAACCCCTTCATCATCAGGTTCTACAGTTATGTATACATTATAGTGAATGGATGAATTAGTGTTATTAACAACATTATTGTTTAAATAACATCGAATCATTAAAAATATCAGTAGATTACAGTTCAACAGCATCAACATAACAACAATAAGCTGAATGTCAGAAAAATTAGGAAAAATAATACAAATTCAAGAATTTATAGTCTCCACTGAAGGCCGGTCAGGGCGACAGTAGTGGCTGAACTTGTTTCTTCTACACACAGAGCACCGGTTGTTTCATGAGAACAGTGATAGTCTCTACAGTATGGAGTATGCGGTACCTGAATGTTTTCGGCAATTTATTTGGTGCCCCATAGATGACAGAGAAGGATCCTTCAATGCCGGCTGGCTTTATGACCGGTTTGAACCACATGGTCTAATATCGAACTGTTGATGGTTTTTAATTAGCCACAATGATAGGTGTTTTCAAGCGAACACTAAAAATCAAGTTCCTAGAGCAACGGTCAATATAACTCACTCCACAAGCGCAGTTGAATGCATTTGCACAACACATTTCGGACAGTCTGATCACACATTTACTTGTCGTATATATCTAAATAAAAGGCAATAGAGCATAAAGGATGACAATTTTTATCAATATAGGTCAGAATGTTTAGGGGATCACAATCACAGATAAGAAGTAAGAAAATGGGGTAAGAATATTATTGAATCGAATGAACTTTGGTTCTACAACTTGATTAGCAATACACGTTCAGAGTTATGATCACCAAAGTAGATTCAAAGACATTTCTTTACAACCATAAGTTTGTCATATTTACATCATTACCGTCAGTTACTGTTCATTTAGTGCAGTGATCTATGTACCATAAACGATTTCTTCTCAATCTAGAAATTATTTTATTTAATGTACGTCGGTGACACGGTGGTTAGGAAGCTCACCAACCATGCACATGATTCGAAGTTTAATCGCCGGCCGATGAACACCTGATATGAATGGTCGACCTGCTAAATTTGGTCTGCTACCGATATCACATGCTGAAAATTCCATAGTTGTACCAACAAAATACTGTGTGGAATCAAGCTATAAGATTACAAATTAAAATCAATATATGCACTAGAAATGTCAGAAAAATTATAAAGATAAGCATATATATATTTTATAACATCAAATAATTCTCAGTGTTGTTTTTCTCTCTTACATATAAACATCCCCTTCAAAATATTACGACAAAACAAGCGCCTCAATGTGCTGGATGTAAACAGTTGGTTATGGATCGAACTATTCTTCGAGTTCTAAATCAAAGTTGGCATGCAAATTGTTTAAAGTGTATGGACTGTGGTACATCACTGTCAGAAAAGTGTTTTGTTCGAACTGATGAACTCTATTGTAAGAAAGATTTTTTCAAGTAAGTTAATACCGTTGAATAGATCATTTTACTTAAATTATCCTCATGCAATTCACATCTGCATTTCCTGCGTATTGCTGCTTATCAGTAAAGTAGATATGAAGCTCAGAGGAAATGACGGCTGCTTGGATATTCTTACCTGTTTCACAAGAGGTGTTACTACTGAGCTATTTGGGCATATGAATGACCTCCTGGGGATTGCCTGCAACCGCCTAAGATGAATTCGTAGTGCATTCTGACACTACGGATTAGGCACACAACATTAGTTATACCTTAGTGATCATTCAGTGTATACGGTGATCTACAGTGTGTCATTAGTACTCTAAATAGGTTATGAACTACAGTTTGTGAATTCAGCTTGAAACAAAGAAAAAGGTTAAAAGAGGTTGGTGCCAAAATATAAACTAAGGTTAAAGAATTCTAAACGTTTGCTTTAAGATATTTAAAAATAATTGATTTTGATAAATCATATATATATATATATATATATATATATATATACAGACCTGGTTACTCCATAAGACCAATAGTAGATTTCAGAGATATGCTGACATGTGAATTATCAAAACACTTACCTCTGATACTACGTCCCGTTATAAATCATCTAAACACTAGACTAACTAATTCATATGAAATGATATAACTAGTCTTTATTACTAATATACCAATCAACCTGCCCTTAGAAGCGGTTAAAAGGGAACTAACTTCTGATTCCGAGCTTTGTCATAGGACAAAGCTGCCCATTGAGAAAATTATTTTTTGGGATTCAGTTATGCTGTCTCACATCTACTATCTTTAAATTCCAGGTCAAAATGTATAAACAGACAGATGGTGTAGCGATAGGATGGATTACCAATATCCCCTATCGTAGCAGATATCTTTATGGACAGTTGGGAAAATATTACTCTAAATCCATTTAATCCTACTCCAAAAATATGGTGGAGATATGTGAATGACACTTTCACAGTATTAAAAACAGAACATACCTCTAGCTTCTTCACACATATAAACTCACAAGTAGAGGGGATAAAATTCACATTTGAATCGGAAAATGAACAAGGAGAATTAGCCACGATGACAAATTGTAGAATAAAACGAGTAGAAGAAGGTAGACTGCACCTTAGCGTTTATAAAAAGACAACTCATTCTGTTAATAGATATTTAGACTTCAATTTATCCCATCCGTTATCTATCTGTGAAGGCAAGCATAGTAAGTGTCTAACAAACCGAGCAATACCACTAAGTAGTACAAAAAGAGACCTAAATGATGAAATGAACCAGATAGAAGAATAGCTGGCTGGCTGGTGTCAAATAATTATCCTATAAAATTCATTAGGAAAATCAGAAAAGGTCAAAGGCAAAATTTTAAAAAATCGTGATACTAATAATGGTGACATTAATAAGAAAGAATATAAGGAGAGGACATCTGAGACACTAAGTAGGTTTCTCAACAAAGCTGGAATCAAGGTGGCATTGAAACCTACAAACTCTGTTAAATGGCCCTGTCGCTTGATCCAATTAAACAAAATAATATGATAATATATAAAATACCTTGCAATGACTGTTAGTTAAGTCGAACTGCATAGGAGAGTCAAACTAGTGGATCGGGAGTAGTCAGATTATCGGAACATAAGAATTTAGCTAAGGCAAGAATGGTTGACCCCGAGAAGATAAGTAATTTAGAAAAAAGCTGACAAATCGCACTGCATGCTTAACACACAATAACACAATAGGGTGGATGGGACAGAGTCAAAATTCTTAGAAGATAATGAAGATTCCTAGCCAACATCAACAACACCAACAGACCACAATAAGCATAAATGAGAAGAACCTGAAAGAAACAACCTCCTTCACCTACCTGGGAAGCATCGTCTCAACTACAGGCGGAAATGACGAGGACATCAAAGCCAGAATCGGAAAAGCAAGACAAGCTTTCATTACTCTCAAATCTGTGTGGAGGTCAACAGCAATCAGCATCAAAAATAAGATCCGGATTTTCAACTCCAATGTGAAGTCAGTGCTACTATACGGATCACAGACTTGGCGAGTCATAAAGAGCATCTCAAACAAACTCCAAACCTTCATTAACAACTGTCTCCGCTCAATACTCAAGATCAGATGGCCGGCCAGAAAAGATCAGCAACAGGGATCTCTGGGAGCGAACCAATCAGGAACCGATTGTGAAACAAATAGGCAGGAAGAAATGGAGATGGATTGGCCATACGCTGAGGAAACCATCAAGTGACATCACTAGACAAGCCCTCGAGTGGAACCCGAAAGGGAGGCGGCGAGTTGGTCGTCCAAGGGTGACTTGGAGGAGGTCATGCGAGGAGGAGATGAAAGCATGTGGACAGACCTGGAGCAGGGTGAAAAAGTTGTCAGAAAACCGAAGTCAATGGAGGTGCGCAGCTGAAGCCCTATGTTCCTCTAGGAACTAAAGGATACAATAATAATAATAATAATAATACAGGTATGTGGAGAGACAGAGGTTGATTCCTGAATCCTGTCTGGTTCATCGAGTCTACACCCAACACGTGCAACAGAAATGACTCAAAGCAAATACCAGAGATATTCAAGATATTATTTCGACCAGTCAGATCAGAGGATAATAAATAATGTCAAAATGTATTCAATTCGCATTATAACATTTTAACAAGTTACTTATTTTTACTATGAAAACATCTTATTTTGCATCTGATTGTATTTTATTGATGACACTAATATTATTTCCTAATGTACTTTATCATATAGTGATTTCATCCAAATGTCTAACCATTAATTTTCACTCATGTATATAAATGAAGCAATGAAGTTATGTGAATAGTGCCTTGATATGATTATGAGTGGCAATAATTTGTGTTGGAAACGTGGTCATCAGTAAATAGTACTGTATAACACTGTGTGATTTTATCAAAATAAAATTTTTCTCATATTGGAGTTATGCTGTACCACATTGCCCAAGTTTTTTTTTACTTATAACAATGATTGTATAATTGTCATTCGATTTATGTATCTCACTACAGTTTTAAAAAGGTGGACCACTAACATATGCAACAATTTTAATTCATATTTTCCAGCAAATACTGTTCCGATTAATTCGTTTCATTTCGTAAAATGAAATAAATAAATGGAGTTTTTCATGGGATTGTTCAAATATTCATCTAATCTTTAAAATTCGTAATCAAAGACTAAAATGTAATTCAAGTGTTGGTTTGTAGGGATTTCGTTGATTGGTTACAGGATTTCATCATGAGCTGACGTCAGTCAGAGAACCATTTGAAAACCTGGGAGTACTGGGCAACCGTTTCATCGTAGTGTGGGAATCTTCAGCAGTACGTGCCCACCGGGATTCGAACACAGGACCTTCTGGTTACAAGGCGAGCGAGCTCGTAGGCCATTAAGCCACTGGGACCCAATCCAATGACCCATGAATTCTAACTTCCACCAATTCACGATATAGCGCAACCGCTAGCCAATGTCTTCGGCGAGTATTTGTCCACACACCCGACCTGCTGCACCCTACTGGTCACGCCTTCTCACAAATAGTCACCGAAGACATTGGCTAGTGCCAGTCGCGGTATTTCGTGAAATGGCAGAAGTTAGAATTCATGGGCCATTGGATTAGGTCCCGGTGGCTTAGTGGTCTACGACCTAGCTCGCCTTGTAACCAGAAGGTCCTCAGTTCGAATCCTGGAGGTGGGTGCGTACTGCCGAAGATTCCCAAAATAGGATGAAACGGTTGTCCAGTACTCCCAGGTTTTCCAATGGTTCTCTAAATGATGTCAGCTCATGAGCGAATCCTGTAGCTAAAATGTAAGTTGACTGTATAATCTTGTCTTTGTCACGAATCAGAGGTAGATTCGGCGCCATCATAAATCAGAGAGCCATAAACTATTTTTGCTTGCTAACCTGAAGATTTTTCAAATATATGCAACTAGTTTTCAGGGAAACAGGTCTCGATAAGTATCAGTAGTCATATATGTGGCTTTCAGTTTCGGGGAAATGTATTCAGACTCTCCATCCAAACAAAGCCAATTAGAATTTGTTGACTGATGAAAGGAAAATGTTGGGCCTCTGTTGACACGTCTGTTTGTAGTACGAATGCCTCTACTATATCTGATGACTCCCAAATAAGACGAAATGTGCATTGTAGATTCTGCCGTTTGTCACTATCTATCAAATTACTTACAGGCGGTAAGGAATTTTCGTCTTTTTTCTGTTCTAAATCTATTTGTTAGTGAGTTTACCTGAGATAACCTTAGGCCAGCAGACTGGTAGTAGTAAAGAGAAAATCGGAGTCATGGAAAGATTCGAACCAGCAACCTCCTAGTTACGGATCTAATGTTCTTCCAGTTGAGCTACTCCTCATTTATATTTATATCACTTAATGAATGCATACTATAGAAGGAAAGATCATAAAACTATCATTACATCCATTGTTTAATTCAACTTAGATTTATCCAATCAACTGATTGGACCTAAGTACTCGATCTCAGGTTGACATTTCTGCTCCTTGTGCAGATGGTTCGACAATTTCTGGTTAAGCAACTTGAAGTCAGATGGTAAATGGTGAGACAGAACACTTCCGTCCAACCCATAGATGGGAAAATCTAAATTTCACAAGAGGTGACTCTCAAGAACCAATTGGTCTAGTGGATAACGCTTTGGCATTTGAGACTATGGACACTATAGGTTCGGTCTTGGTGGGGATACCATCACTGATTGACTGGGGGGGTGCAGGTACATCCAGTTGGCTGACGAGTCCCCAATAGGACGAAATACACCTTGTTCTGGATTCCACTGCTAGTCATCCACTGACAAAAGTATAAAATCAACCAATCTGTTATAATTACTTATAAATTCTAGTAGTTATTTATTTTTATTCGATTTGTTAAAATGTTTGCATATCTTTTGACCATGAAATAAATCATTTCAAGATGGGAAACATTGAATGAATGAATGGAAGGGAAGTGAATAGTGTAATTCACACGTGAACAATATATAACTTCGACTTCACACCTATTTAGAGATGGGAGACAAACCCTCACTCACCCATCCACCCACCCCAAAAAATAAAGAAGGTTGACTGATTACTTATTATTCTTTTTGAATAAAGATAAATAGCCATGTCATTTCTCTTCTCACCTTTATTTTTTCCAAAACAGTTTTTTATACCTCTTTTATTCGAACAAGTGTGGAAAGTTGGTTTATAATTCTCTGAGTCCTTGTTATTTTTCACTGTCTCAGTCATTTTGTTTGTTCTGGTTATTTTCAATTATCTAAATTGTATTTTATCCATTAAGTTGAGTATTATTCATTCTGTATGTTTATTTATTTATTTGTTTATTTGTAATACATATTTATATACACCGTGTGTGTGTGCGTGTGTGTGTGTGTGTGGTATGTGTGTATACTCCATTCTCTAGATTCTCCTTTCGACAATCCCTTCGAAAATTTTCCCAATATTTTTAGTCATGCTTCCATTGTTTATTGTCAATGAATTACACTCAAACGCTAACAGAAATATACAGAAATGTACCATATTATTCTTCTATCCAAGCCCTATCCACCCTCCACCGCAATTACATGAATAGGATAAAAAGGTGAGTTTTGGTGTGCGGTTGGGGGAAGAATAAGTAGGGAATAAATAGTAAACTGTATAACGGATAACAGTAAGATTTAATGCTACTATTGTATGCGTATTATTAGTGGTTAGAATCATTTTGACACGAAAGGTGTCACAAAAATAGATACAGGTTTCCATTGTCTATTATCTTTCATATTATTCTACATGTATAAATTACTTAGTCAGTTAGTTAGTTAGTAGTTAATCTCTTTGTAATACAAAAGGCTTGATTAATATATATTGTTAATTTTCAGTAAGTAAATTGTGCTTTCTAATTTTTTTCTTTAAAGATAATCAGCAGAATAATCTTATAGAAGAAAAAGGCTAACAGAAGAGTTAATCGTTTTAATGGATATTAACGTGTATATGTATATGTATATGTATATGAGCAGACATATGTACTAACACACCACACGTGTCATTCATCAAAACACTTCCTGTCATAGTGTTTTAGTGAGTGAGTGAGTGAGTGAGCACACCTATATGATTCAAGCTTCTTATTTTATTGTATGCAAGAATAAGTTAAACCTGAATTGTGATTATATAAAGTTGAATAGGTTGCAGGCACATTTAGTTGGCTGACGAGTCCCAAATCGAGACAAAATGTGCATTCTGGACTTCACTGCTAGCCACCATCCACCAATTAACTTGTAATTACATCGCCGAAGCATCTGAACAAGAAGCCGACATGTCAACCTGAGACCGAGCGCTTCGGTCCAATCAATCGATGGGAAAATCTAAAATTGAATTAAATAGTTATTACTACTTGTTGTTGAAATTATGGATGCTAGGAGGAAATTACCCAGTCAAGTTATATAATAATAATTTTTTTCATAGATATATTGACGTATTGTCAACAGTCTTGTTTACGAGTTGATCACAGATTGATATCAGTTAGAGAATCATTGAAAACCAACCAGGGAGTACTGAACAGCTGTTTAGTCAGTCTAGTTTGAGAATCATCGGCAATACGCACCCACTGTCAGGGCTCGAACCCATGACCTTCCGGTCACAAGGTAAGCTAGCTCGTATACCACTCACCTACTGGGACCCCCGATTCAATGGCCAGTACATGAATTTTAACTTCTGCCAATTCCTGGACTCGAACCCTGGCAGTGGGTGCGTACTGTCGATGACTCCTAAACTAGGCTGACGAAACAGCTGTCCAGTACTCCAGTGTTGGTTCTCTAACTGATATCACTTCATGATCAGCTCGTCTGAAACTAAACTAATTCTTACAAACCAAATATCGAAGTCTTTTTCACACTGAAGATGACTAAATGATTTGTAAATAAGCAACACAAAGTTAATAAAGTAGGACTGAATGAATTCATCGAATTCCAGTAGAAGTCTTCATCTGGAACTCTCTATACAGGAATACAAAATTAAGATAAAACATACATCACGGTTCATTTATATTATTTAAATAAACAATTAGTTATCAGTGAGTGAAAGAACTTGAATATATCAAGAATTTTGAACTAAATAATATTGATAATAAGAGTAATGCTATTATTATTACTAATAATAATAACAGTTAATCAGTAAAGCATATTACCATGGTAGATTCAGAGTGACCGCCATTTCTTTTTGTACACAGAGACCTGACTTAATAAACTCTGATTGCACAAGCCACTACAGTTACAAGCATCTTCCTGTTTCTTTGTCTACTAACAACAGTGAATGGCTTGGCCGCGTCAATATCATATCCGTAGTACGTAAGGTGTTTTGTTACTGAACTCTTAAGCACTTTGACTTCAGCTGTTTTCCACCACTTTGGCGAATGCTCCATCATGGGAGTGGACGGTCGTCTTTCTGTACGATCTATGTACTTGCTTCCGCAAACACACTAATCAAACTGATATACACAGTTTGAAGTGTCGAGGACTGGGGACTAGTCTTTCTCAGTATAGACAGCATCTAGCTGAAGAGTTCTAACAAAATTTGATGAATTAATCAAATCCTGCTTTACTAACTTCTTGGATACAGAATTCTGACAAGAACAAGCTGGATTCAGGAAAGGTAAATCATGTTCTGACCAAATTGCAACTCTACGCATCATCATCACAGAACTAAGCATGGAATGGCAATCAAACCCCCACCTCAACTTTATAGACTTCGAGAAGACCTTCGACAGACAGTGTTAACCACGAAGTAATTTAGAAACTACTCGAGTACTACGGCGTACCCCAAATATTCATCAACCTTATTCAACAGCTGGTTGTGTGACAACGGCACATGCCAAGTCATCCACAACGGAGTTTGGAGTAAACACAGGAGTCAGACAAGGGTGCTTTTTATCACCAATGATATTCCTAATTGTGGTGGACTGACTGGATTATGCGTCAGGCAGTAAGTGGGAAACGAGAAGACAGGGATAGATATCCTGGACCGACGTGAAGAACCTAGAAGACCTGGATTTCGCAAGTGGATGATTTATGTTTGCTATTACACAAAATCGAAGACTTACAAGTGAAAACCGACAAACTGGCCGAAAAAGCAGGCAGCAAAGACAGGACTCCATGTGAACATAGACAAGATGGCGGTGATGAAAATAACCAACCAACCAACAACAACAGCAGAAACACCCACCTCCAATTACCATCAACGGGAGGGATTTGAAAGAGGTTACTTCGTTCATTCATTCACTTATCTAGGGAGCATTGTCTCAACTACACGCAGTCGGAACGGACGACGATGTCAAATCGAGCGAGAATCGGGAAGGCGAGAACACAAACATTCATCAACCTGAAACCAATCTGGAAATCTTCGTCACTCAGCCAGAATCAACAACAAAATTCGGTAGGATTTTCAATACAAACAACGTCAAGTCAGTCAGTTCTTCTATACGGATCAGAAACTTGGTGGGCGGGTCACAAAGAATATTTCTAACGGGCTGGCTATTACAGACCTTTATCAACAACTAACTGTCTTCGCTCTATACTGAAGATCAGATGGCCGGACCGGAAACAATCACCAACAAGAAACTATGGATAGGAACAAACAAAACAAAACAAGAACGAATTAATCGCCAGCCAACAAATATGCAGGAGAAAGTGGAGATGGATTGGAGACTCGCTCGCTGAGGAGGCCGCTGGTTGACATTGCGTGTGCATCAGGCCATTGCTCGAGCGGAACCCGAAAGTGAAGCGGAGATTGGGCCGTCAGTGCGAGGGTGAAATGGAGGAGGTTGTGTGAAGAGGAGTAACTCTAACTGTATATTTTGGTTTTTGAAACTTGAAAGCCAACATTGCTCACCAACTAATCAAGCGAAAAATGTCTAGTTCACGCCTGATGTTCGCTGTCGCATTACTTTCCCACAGATCATACAACTCAATACGAATTTATTGGTCAAATATTTTTTTTAACCAGCTCACAAATTTTTCCTGAAAATGAATTTTCTGTTGGTCGACAACCCAAAATGATAACATGAAGACTTTCTTCTATCATAATTACTTCGTCTCAGAATGTTCTTTTTCATTACAGTGTCTGGGGATAATATGATGCAGATGAGAAATTTTAGATCTTATCTCCATGACGTAACTGTTGAAAATGGTAGAAATAAATAGGAAAAGAAATGGGAGAAGTAATAATTATTACCAGCTTATGTGATTTCACAACAAACAAATGAGCACCTTCTCTCGCCACTAAAAAACCATAAGGATGCAGAATTCAAGTAGTTTGTTAAGTCTTCCTTTAGTGATACTGATGACGTGAGCTACACATTTGCGACTTTCTAGAATCCCACTTTTATTAGTCACAATCACAGAAAAATGTACCCTTACATTAATGCTAAACGCACAAATAAAAGACTCTAAATGTCTATACTACTTTTTATTTGTCAGTAGTTAAAATGTATTTTTACCTTTGAAAATAGACGGTGAAGGAGAAGAAGCATTATCGGGAAGTAAAAGTTCTCCGTGAAAAAATTAGAATTAGTTTTACATAATTTTTAACTTATCATGGTATAGACAAAATTTGATTACTATGGTTTTCCTGTTATTTTCTTTTCATTAATTAATTAGACGGTTTGGAACAAAATGTGCTGGTTGTGATAAAGGGATCCCGCCTATGGAAGTTGTTCGTACAGCACAAGAGAATGTCTACCACTTAGATTGTTTCTCATGTGTCAGTTGTACGCGTATGTTAAATACGGGTGATGAATTCTATCTTCTTCATGATCGAAAATTAATGTGCAAATCTGATTTTGAAGCTGCAAAAGCCCGAGGTCAGTATAAATATTATAATTTTGATGAATAACTTGATAAGGTCACATTAGCTTCAAACAGTAGCAGGGATTAGTTATTTTCATGAGGTCTAAATTTATTAAAAGTCTATCTGTGGGGATTTGATACAAGTAGAAAAAGTCACAGATCATTGTAAATGACTTGACATTTTAACTGAATAATTTTCCACAAGCATATTAAAACGACCAGAACCGAAGTATTCTGGTATGAACACAGGGGACCAATCTATGTTCTCTTCTGTGTAGCTGACCAAACTTTCCTTAGTGACTCACAGTCCCAAAGAAAGACAGTTATATTTGATATAGTAATACTAAACAATAATGAAGCTATATCAAACACACAGAATTATTTCAGCAGTGCCCTGAGGCACCTATATAATCCAACAATTTCTCAAGTGCAAAACAAGTGCACTTACTGTATAGCAAAATCAGTTAACCCCCAAAAAAATAACCGTAAGAATTACCTGAGAATCAAGGAGAATATTCCCAAAAAGGTGGGCTGAAAACTCTGTCGGCAAGAATCAAGCACACGAAACACTTCTCTCTGACGCCTCAAGGTTAGAATCTGCATGGTATAGCCTTGAACCCATTCAAACAAAATCACAATCATAAAGCAACAGGTTATCATTAATAGCTCATCATTACCCAATAGTTAAGTAAAATATTACGAAGAAGAATCAACCACAAACAAAGACGAATAGTAAGGATTAAATCAAAGGAAGATATGATGCACAGGTCAAGGGAAGAAAGGTAATAATTACACCCTCAGTTAAAAATATCCAAATAAGCAATAGTACTGTAAATACATTTTCCAACCAATTGTTCCGATACACATATTGCTGACAACATGTATGATTCACTAAAAAGCTTCTTAGATGTAACATGTATTGACAAATTGTGTACAGTTATGTATATACATGTAATGACCGAAGACAAGGGCCAGCCAACAAATCGTTTACTGAGAAAATCAAAAGATATGCATAGATTTCTATGTACATCATTGTCAGTGGAGAATCAACGTCTTCTGATTGGTCGTCTTCTTGCTGAAGGTCATTCTGTCATCTCTTCGTGGCCGTTTCTCAGAAAGTCAGGCCATATTTCTGCGAATCGTATTTGCACACGTTAAGTCTACTGTGACTGAATGGTGAGTTCCTCAAGGTTAATCTTTGTTGTTGTTGTTGTTTTTTCTCATGACTCCGATTCGGGATGTAAACACTGACGCGTAAATTGTTGTCTACAATTTTGGCTAACAGGCAGCTCTCCCCACTTACATGTATTAGTACCATCAAAAGTGAATTCACAGATTTCACTATACCAGACATTTTTCATATGATAAACTTACCATGAAGCCACCTTTCATCATCACATTTGGAAAATATAAGACAATTTTATTTGCATATTTTGTGCTCTGTACACAACATCTATTAGCCAATGAGTCTCATGATAATCCTCATTCATCAGTTCTATAAGACTCAATCGTTTATGTTAATCTTTTTGTAATGAACTGTAAAGTCCATGTGAAACATTCTTCTTTAGTGTTTTTTTTTCTGTGTTTTTAACTCATATATATTTTCTTATCATAATACAGAACTAATAATACTAATAGCATTAAGCAGTACAACAAAAAAAACCTAAATGAAGAAATGAAATAGACGAAAGAAGAAATGTTGGAGTTAAATAAATATCCTATGAAATTTATTTGGAAGATTAGAAAAGGTCAAAAACAAAATAAAAGTAATGGTAACACTAATTATGGTAAATAAATAAGAGAGAATATAAGGCATCTACAGTTTTACCACATAAGGAGGAAACATCTGAAACCATCCCTATGTAGGATTCTCAACAATGCAGGAATTAGGGTTTTAATTAAAATTACAAACTCGCTCAGGTAGGACAAGCTCTGTAGGTTAAAGGACCCTGTCGGTCGACTCAGTTAGACAAAATAATATCAATTACAGTATACCTTGCAATAACTGAGTTATATCAACTACATAGGTCAGTCGAACTAGTAGATTGGGAGTAGTCAGATTGTTGGAATATAAGAATTTAGCTAAGGTAAGAATGGTTGACCCCGCGAAGATAAGCAATTTAGAGAAAAAACTTAGCTATAGCACTTCATGCATTAACACACAACCACACAACAGGGTGTGTGGGAGGGGGCTAAAATTCCTACAAGTAATATATGTAGGTGGAGAGAGACAGAGGTTTATTACTGAATCCTGCTTGGTTCACCGAGTCTACACCCAACACATGCAGAAGGAATGACTCATCACTCACACCGGAAATATGGAAAATACTACTACCAATCAAATCAAGTGAAAAATAATGGAACTATATGAATGAAGTTAGGAAGTCGTGTGATTACCTTGATATGATTATAAGCAGCAATAAATTGTACTCGAAACGTGGTCATCAGTAAACATTACTGTATAACGCTGTGAGACTTTATCAAAATAAATTTTACCCACAACAGAACCAATAATATTACATTAGATTAATAGTACTGAGATTAAAATGTACAAATGACCTTTCGTTTAAAACAGCATAAGTAGACGATGGCACTTAACAAGAATTAAACTTAATTCTCTTTTAAAACTCAAACAAACAAACAAAATGACATACCAGAAGACTGACCGAATACAATTTGGACTGTGTGACACTGCTATACATCGTGCATTCGTTTTTTATGAGGGGTCATTACTGTGAACAAATTCATTAGTTAGGCATTTTTATAATGCTGAAGAGGATTCTCTTGCACAATATACCAGAATATTTATATTTAGCTCAGCATAATAGAAGACTTGATCAACTAATGTCCATAGGGAATGAATGATGAAGTGTCAAGTCACTTACAAACCAGTGATTACTTCGCGGTAAGAGCTGCCTGTTAGCCAAAATTGTAGACAACAATTTACACGTCAGTGTTTACATCCCGAATCGGAGTCATGAGAAAAAACAACAACAACAACAAAGATTAACCTTGAGGAACTCACCAATCAGTCACAGTAGACTTAACGTGTGCAAATGCGATTCGCAGAAATATGGCCTGACTTTCTGAGAAACGGCCACGAAGAGATGACAGAATGACCTTCAGCAAGAAGACGACCAATCAGAAGACGTTGATTCTCCGCTGACAATGATGTACATAAAAGTCTATGCATATCTTTTGATTTTCTCAGTAAACGATTTGTTGGCTGGCCCTTGTCTTCTGTCGTTACAACTTCACTTAATTTGACTTTTTTACAGAAAAATAAGTCAGTTAAAACTGAAATTAGTTATTGGTATTATACAAAACTAGAAGTATAGATGAATAAAACAGGTTAGGTGGGAGCAGTGTTATTATTTTAGAATAACTATACTGATTACATGAAATAAAGAATAACAAATATTGAGTTAACACTGTTTTATATTGTTATAAGGCGTATAACTATTGCAGCTTCAAAAATGTAGCTACTGGATAAATGTCTACTTGAAAAATTTTCAAATGAACGGATGTAATACGTAAAAGGCATAGAAAAGTAGGTTTAGTCTCTTTGTGTTTTTCCAGATACTCTGTGATCTCTTGGAGTAGAATAAACTCTGGCAGCCTCCTTAAATCTCCGGGCTGTCCGAATTGTCTATCCATCAAAATGCATAGAAATTTTTTTACTCCGTTTCAAATAGTTTTATTCTCCTAATCGCCACAATAAGCCACGAAATATACTCGCATCCAACTTCAGATAAGTTTCTGTCTGCTGTTCTCCGGAAGGAAATCGAGGAAGAATATTGTGGAGCAGCACTGGAGCATATTTTGAATAGATTAGTATTGCTTCAGATGATGTATTATTGATTATTATAGTATTTGAAGATTGTGTACTGGAGAAAACCTTGCATTGAGATTCGCTGAAGATTCTTTATTGCGTATAAACGCATTTATCGCATTAATGCTGTTTATTGTAAATATTATCACCTTAGAAAACTTCTTTGACTAAAATTTTATTGCATATTTTAAGATTTAATCATTGATTAATAAAAATCCATCTGAAGAGTTTCAATTGAAAGGTTTCCATCGTCAGTCACTAAAAGGAAATTTAAATCAAACATAGAGAATAACACTTACTGACATTAATTTATAGTCTGATTTCTTCAACTTAGTCTTCTACGTTCAACTATGACGGAATAGAATATACTAAAATAACCTTCCAGCTGATAATCTCCTATTATTCATTGTAATCAGATTAGCTCTCGTGGCCCAAGTGGTCTAGTCGATAACGCTTTGGCGTTTGAAACTATGGGCACTGGATTCGAGCCTCGGTGGGAACATCATCACTCACTGACTGGGGAATGCAGGTACATTCAGCTGGCTGACGAGTCCCAAATAGGACGAAATGCACCTTGTCTTGGATTCCACTGCTAGTCACTATCCACCAATTAAATAGTAATCAGATTATATTTTATTGAATCATCCAAATTTGAACAAACTGGTAATATATAAGAGTCATTTTTGTTGACTAGCAAGCATATCGGTTCATACCAGCATCTCAAATGTAACAAACATTTTTTTTGGTTGTTGTTGTGTAGAAGTTCATGACGTTTAAGACAAAAGTACAATGCAGCATAATATTCTAGTCTGACGTATACACTTAGTAGACAGTGAACTATATACCGTACAAAAATATTGTACATTATTTACAAGAATACAGTTTAATATTACCATAGTAATCGCTAAATATATCTAACGAAAAACCAAAAAAACCAAAAAGAAAAAACGGAAATATAACTCATATAAGAAAGATAAGTGTACAATGTATATATATATATTTTTGCTTTATTCTTTTTGTAGAAGCTGAATTAGATAATGCAAATAAACGTCCAAGAACAACTATTTCAGCCAAACAACTTGAAGCTCTTAAACGAGTTTACAGTGAAAGTCCTAAACCTGTCCGACATGTTAGAGAACAGTTAAGCGAAGAAACTGGCTTAGATATGCGTGTAGTACAAGTATGGTTTCAAAATCGTAGGTAAGTTGAACTATTTAATAACAGTTTTGAAACAGGTGCTATTTAACCGAGAAAGTATGTATGTAACCGATGAATTAGAGTACTTCTTTTATTATCCTAAACTAGCATTTTGCAATTCGTTTACTTTTGAACACTAAACCTGTGGATATAATATTGTTGACTACTAATACCTATAACTAACTGTTTGGCATTTTGTGACTTTTTAACACTAACTCATATCTGTAATTGTATATATTGTTGGATTTATATGTTCAAGTGCGCCCAAGTCAGTGAGTCTATCGTTTTGATATCATTTTAGTTAACTGTGCTTAACTGTGGCATTTTTATTGTTGTTGTCGCTTGTTGCCCTTTTTGCTGCGAATTATTTTCCTTTTGCTGGTGTTGTTCTGATTGTTTTATTCCTTGTTTTCCGGTTTTAAGGGGAGCCTTTCACAAGGTCGCTTCTCTCTAAACTATATCTTAATGTAACAATCCCTTTCTCAGGCGTGAGGCAAGCAAGAATCGGAAAAGCAAGACAAGCTTTCATTACTCTCATGTCTGTGTGGAGGTCAACAGCACTCAGCATTAAAAATAACATCCGGATTTTCAACTCCAATGTGAAGTCAGTCAGTGCTACTCACTATACGGATCAGAGACTTGGCGCCTCATGAAGAGCACCTCACACAAACTACAGACCTTCATCAATAACTGTATTCGCTCAATACTCAAGATCAGATGGCCGGCCAGAAAAGATCAGCAACAGGGAACTCTGGCAATGAGCGAACGAACCCAGCAGGAACCGATTGTGAGACAAATAGGCAGGAAGAAATGGAGATGGATTGGCTGGTTATACGCTGAGGAAACCATCAAGTGACATCCATCACTAGACAAGCCATTGCTCGCGTGGAACCCGAATGGGAAGCGGCGAGTTGGTCGTCAGTGCGAGGGTGACATGGAGGAAGTGATGTGAAGAGGAGATGAAAGCGTGTGGGCAGACTTGGAGCCAGGTGAAAACTCTAGCAGAGAACCGAACTCAATGGAGACGGGTGGCTGAAGTTCTATGTTCCTCTAGGAATTAAAGGATATGATAATAATAAATAATAAACTAGCATTTTAATTTGTGGACGGTGACTAGCAGTGGAATCCAGGATAATGCGCATTTCATTGTAATTGAGACTCGTCAGCCAACTGGATCTACCTGCATTCCCCTGACAGTGAGTGATGATTTTCCCACCAAGGCTCGAACCCAGTGCCCATAGTTTCAAACGCCAAAGCGTTATCGACTAGACCACTTGGGCCACGAGAGCCACCTCTTGTGCAACGGGTCATATTAATTTAATTTAATTTTTTAGATTTTCCCATCCACTAATTGGACCGAAGTGCTCGGTCTCAGGCACTGGGTTTGAGCCTCGGTGGGAACATCATCACTCATTAATGAGTCCCAAATACGATGAAATGCGCATCCTGGATTCCACTGCTAGTCACCCTCCGCAAATTAGATTCTAATTAAATGCCCAGACATCGTTGAGACATCTGCACAAGAAGCCGACATGTCAACCTGAGACCGAGCACTTCGGTCCAATCAGCCAACGGGACAATCTGAAAAATTCAACTAAACTAGCATAACCTAAAGACACGTTAATGATTAAGGGGTCCTTATTGACTTTTCTGTCACAGTTGGCGACTGTGAAACTATTGACAGAAATCTCAGGTGATCTACAGTCTGGCGTGCAACTTAATTAAAAAAAAACTTTTTAAAGTTTTAATGCAAAGTGGTATATGTCCTAGTCAACCAGTCACATTTACTTACTGATCGGCTGCAATATATAGCCGCTTCGTCAGAGTAAGCTCTTGAACTTCCAGCCCATAGCTCAATAATAAATTTTTTTAATGATAACTTTGAACTCGATTATTGATGAGGTCACACAGTTCCACCATGGAAGATTTTAAAGTGAACACAAAACAACACTAAATTACACCATGACTATTGCTCCACTATCATCTCATTTCAGTTATTGAAAACAATTTCTCCTTCATAGCGCACCTTATTAATTGATGGCCTAAATTATAATTAAGTTACAGAAATTTCTGAAGGTAGGCGTACTGAATGTATATGATTTTCCTGATATTTGATTTCAAATTATATTCCAAATGTGAACTTCTTGAGAAAAACAAAGGCACTTTGAACTTTAAACTCTGGAGAGCATGTTAACAAATCGGTCTCATTACAGTTGATAAATGAATTCTGTATCTTTCCTAAGCTGAACAGTTTCACTTATTTTTCATCTCAATCTAGTTCCATTGTCTTCATGTATTTTCGTTGGTTTCAGTAATGTCAATATGTTGATTAATTTAGCGAATTTAGCTAAATGAACGGTTCGATAAATTTGAGGATTCCCATTATGAAGCCACTAGAAGTTAAAAGGCGCTGAATAGTTTTTCTAATCTCTTCACGTCTATCTGGTGAGTTTGAAGTAGGATAAAGTACGCGCCCTGACTTCCACTGCTGTCCATCATCTATCAGATGACACTAGAGTGAAATTATTTCTAATTTAGAAGTGGGTTCTAGTGGGAATTCGTGACCAGTAGAGTACAGCGGGTCAGGTGTGAGGGCAGCCAGCGATGACATTGTCTAGTGCAAATCGCGCTATGTCTTGAATTAGCAGACGTTGGAATTCATGGGCCGGTCATTTGATCGCGTGCCACTGGCTTAATGGTCCATGAGATCGCCTTGTAACTGGTGGGTCCTGGGTTCGAATCCTGTTGGGGTTGGTGCGTACTGATGAAGAGTGTCAAACTATAGTGTGACGAAACAGCTGTCGAGTACTGCCTGCAGGTTTTTCAATGGTTCTCTAACTGATGTCAGCTGATCATGAAATCCTGCAACCGACCAGTCAAATCTCTACAAACCAATACTTGAGAAGCAAAACACTTATCATTAAATAAAATGTATTTAAGGTAGTGTTTTGATTCGAAGATGTTGTAACAACGGAAGGTAGTGAAACGAAGACTCGACAAACCATCAAGAGAATATTTGCTGCAAACTTGTTATCCTTAACACCACCAAGCGAGTGCTTCAACAATCTGGGAAAGACCAGTCGCCAATCCTCGACACTTCAAACTGCATATATCAATTTGAGTGTGTTTGTGGCAGCAAATACATAGGTCGTACGGAAAGGCGATTGTCTACTCGCATGATGGAGCATTTGCCAAAATGGTTGAAAACAGCTGAGTTCAAGGTGCCAAAATCCTCAATAACAAAACATCTTGTAGATTATGGACATGATATCGACGCAGTCAAGTCATTTACCATTGTCAGCAAACAAAGAAACAAGAAGATGCTTGCAATTGCAGAGGCTTGTGCAATTCGAATTTATAAACCAGCTCTCTGTATACAAAAGGAGATGGTCGTAACTCTTAATCTACCATGGTAATACGTTTTATTCTCTACTTGTTATTATTCTACCTCTTCTTCTTACTATTATTGTTATTATTATTACCATTATTCTTGATTCATCTAAAACTATGCTTTATCAGTAAGATTATCTTAACTCACTTCAACACTATTAAAACTGTTATTATAACTATTACTATTGATATTAGTCTGTTTGCAATTCTCCTTATATTCCCTAGTGACTAATTGTTTATCTAAGTGATGCAATTGAAGCGTAATGCCATTTATCTTAATTTTGATCTCTCATACTCTCTCTCCCCTTATCTATTTGAACATGACCTGGAAAATATTCGCACCTGTCTCTCTGCATGATTAATTCAATGTAGTTTGTTTACTTATCAGTCTTATATCTCCCAATGTAATTTCAAAAGTATATATATCCGTGTATGTAGAGTATTCAGCTGACGAGTTCTACCGAAATTTGATGAATTCATTAAATCCTGCTTTATTAACCTTTATTGCTTGTTTTAAATTCGTATCGGGAAATAAATGTTTTCAAAACAAGGAAGCCAAGGTACATTTTCAAGTGATCAAACCGTTATATATGGTTTATATTCTCTAAACAATCATTGAGCTTGTGATTTTTCCTTACATTAAACAATGTCAAATGGAATGTTGAAATACATAAGTTATGCTGTTGTTAGCAGACGAGAGCTGTGGTTAAGCTCTCTAAATAGCCAAATTATATATACCTTATCTTCAACACACCATTTGCACAGATCTTGCGTGTTGTGCTACTTATGGCCTTCCTTCATATTGTGTTTCTTTGTGTTCCTTTCACGTCTCCCATATATCTCCACAACACAGTATCATTTGCTTTCTCTGACATCAAATGTATCTCCCTGCTATCTGGTGTTTTTTTTTATGCCGACGAACATCTCTTCATATATATATATATATACCACTGATAAATCTTATCAATAGAACACGCTACACTCTGACTTTAGTATTAAATAGAATATTCAAATAGATATATCGTATTCTGTTGTTAAAGCAGTAATGAACTGTGGGAATATAGGTGAGAATAATATTCCTTTGGAATACACTGTCTGTTCACATCACCACAATGTGACATATTCAATAAATATCTTTTTTTTCAAGTATTGGTTTTGTAGTGGTTTTGTGTTCGATTGCATGGAGGATTTCATCATCATGAGCTGAAATCAGTTAGAGAATTACTGAAAAACCAGCCACAGGGAGTACTGGATAGCTGTTTCGTCAGCCTAATTTAGGACTCTTTAACAGTACGCACCCGCAGCCAGGGTCCGAACGCAGGACCTTGTGGTTACAGGGCAAGCTAGCTCGTAGACCGTTGAGTCATTGAAACCCGACGTAAAAGGGATCTACGAATACGCGGTATATTTTTCTTTTAATAGCGATTGTTCGATGTTTCATTATCGTGAGATCAGCACTAAATTTCTGTTGGATAGTTTAATGAATTTGGATCTAAGATTCATGCTCATAACCACTGCAGAGTGAGACATATCTGAACTCTAGAAGGAAATGAACATTAACATACAGGTATATCACAATGGCCGGTCTTCTAGCTTTTGGTGACCACCATATT